CTGAGCTGCCAGAGGGTGCTTTGGTCAGTCCCCTGGCCAAGGCCCCACCTCTGGCATCAATCTCTCCATTCTCTGCCAGTTGCCTCCAGAGCAACAAACGCCTCATTAGTATTTCTGGCAAGCTGATGATTAACATGTGAGCACACACCTGTGGATTCAAAGCAGCTTTCAGGTCGTACTTTATACTCTTTGTAACATAAGGGGCGTGCATGGAACTCTGCAGTCCCAACAGGGCAGCACTGGATAAGCTGGGCGGGGAGGATGTGGCACCCCTGAGGCTGAGGGGGAAACCGCTTCTCAGTGTGAACCTGGACTTCCCCCGGGGATACCCTGCACATGTGCTGTCTGCCGTGGCCAGTGGAAGCTGTCCTCTGGCTGGTGCTGATGGAAGTCACAGCGGGTAATGCGTGGCAGGACGGGGACAGAACTGATCCAGGGCTCAGAACCACTCTTTTCCAGCAACAGCCCAGCTCCGAAGACCCCCTGGGTGGATGGCACTGCCACCACTTACCTGGTCCAGGTGGTCATCATCCTTGGAAAGCCTTCCCTCTCCTCGAGGACATTTTCTTGCTTGTTTAAGGGAGAGAAGACAAACTGCAAGCCGAATTATCAGATTTATTATGCTTTTAAAGACATCAGAGACAGGAAGGGGGGTGCTGAGGAGCTCTCAAGGGAAGCCCTGAGAGACAGATAGCTTAAAACATGACCTTCCTGCTGTCACTCGGCCTGGGGCCCTCCCTGTGTTCTCCCACGCCAATGTCCTCCTGCACCAGCGCGTGGCAGGGCCTGCAGGGGTGAGGAGCTGCCTCTGGCAAAACCTCTCCCCCGCCTCCCTCCCACCCATCCAGCCCTGCACCCCCCACTCCACCTCGGCCCTGAATCACCCTCCAAAACCCAGGGCCCAGCCCAGCTCCTGGTGGACCAAGGAAAGACAGAGAACTGTGCTGGAAACAGGCTCCAGCCCAGCTCAGCGTCTGCTTCTCCAATCGGCCGTCACCAGGGGGCTCCGGTCCTGCCTCCTGACACCTCGTGCCGCAGAATCTCAACTCCCGACACGACGGGTCTTCCCCACACTGCCCTTGTTTGTGTGTTTGTTCTGCTTTGTTTTTTAACTGTGTCCAGCTATCACACTTATGTCTGTTCAGTTTCCATCCTACAGGGACATCGCATATTGGGCCTGCACCCCCGGCAGCAGCACACCCTGGCAGCTTTGGTCCGTGCACAGGTGTGGCAATATTGTCCTCACCGGGTCACAGGCAGAGGAGGGGTGAAGGAATGAAGATGCATTTAGGTCCTGGGCACCCGCTAGGTGTGAGGCAAACAGTCAGAAGGAAACACAGAGGGCTGGGGATATAGCTCAGTGGCATAAGCACCTGCCTGGCAAATGCAAGGTCCTGAGTTCGATTCCTGGAACCAAAAAGAAGGAAACAGTCTTTAGCTCCTGGGAGCCCGGTGAAGCTGTGCCCAGCAAGGCCTGCAATGGATGGCAGCTAGAAGGAGCTGTGGGAGCCCACGCTTGACAAAGAAGAGTGGACAGCCTGTGGAGGGAGATGACACATTTTGCATAGAACAATAACGCAAGTGCCAAGAACACAAAAGGTGAAAGAAAGTGTAGGCCATAATCCAGTGAGTCAGCTACTAAGAGAAATACGGCAGCCAGCGAAGACGTAAGAGGCTCTTAGCAAGAACTGAGGGTACACCTGAAATCCCAGCCTCAGGAGCTGAAGCAAGTGAGGCCAGCCTGGGATATAGTGAGACTGCATCTCAAAACAAAAACAAACAAAAATACTATTCATCAAAGCCCAAGCCAGGGGCTGGGGATTTACTTCAGTGGCACAGCGCCTGCCTGGCAAGCACAAGGTTGTGAGTTCGATTCTTGGTACTGGAAAAAAAAAAAAAAAAAAACAAAGCCCAAGCCAGAAACCACCCAAGTGCCCTCCCGAGGGAACAGGTAAGTGAATTTTGGAATACTCTCGCAATGGCGTGAATGACCCACAGCCTCATGGAACGTGGGTGAGCCTCCCCGGTGGCGCATGCGCAGGAGATTATGTTCTGTATTATTCATGGATGTGACGCAAACAGTCATGGCATGAGAGGGGGACAGTGGTCAGCACAGGCAGGTGGTGACCCGAGGGGGCTGTGAGGATGCTTGGAGCGTGCTGTGATGCTCAGAGCCCTAAGCTGAGAGGACATGTACCCGAGTTCAGTATGTAGGAAGATAATGCAGGACCCTTGCAAATGTGCACCTTCCTGTGTGGCTATTAGGCTTCAAGACCAGAATGATTCCATCAGTCACATTTTAGTCCAGTGGGAGTCTGGTAACAAGATGTCATAGTCTGGTGCCTTAAAAACACCACCACCTTACCCTGCACAGTGCTGAAGGCTACGAAGTGCAAGACCAAGGTGCCGGTGGTCTCCGTGCCTGTGAGGCTGCCTCCTGCTCACAGTCACTGTGCCCGTGTGGCAGAAGGGGCAAGAGCGCTCTCTCCGGCCTCTCTTATGAGGGCACCAATTCCAGTCCTGGGGGCCCCGCTCTCAGGCCCTGATATCTACTACTGGCCCACTCCCACTACCCCACCTTGGGGTAGGATTTGACATAGGGATTTTAACAGGGCACAAACAGCCAGGCCCTAGCAGCGGCCGGCTATCTAACAAGGACTACTTTCCAAGTCGGATTTCATGCTTTCTCTACCACTGGGCCCTGAGCTGCTTTAGCAGAGGAACCTGCCTCATGCAGCTTACGCTCTCCCTTCCATGGCCCACAGAGGTGTGCTCTCCCCACAGGTGGCCTCTCTGGATAGGGCGCGTCACCTCAGCAGCTGCTCCGTCCGCCCAGCTAAAGCCGCCCGGAGGTGCTGCCCCGGCAGTCACTGCGTGGAGGTATAAATGCTCTTCGGACCCACATCCCTGCCGCATGCATCACCAGCCCTGTGGCGTTCGTCCCGCCCCTCCTGCTCTCCCCAAGGTGACCCAGGCACCCTGACTTCCCCCCAGCCCAGCTTCTCAGCTCACACGAGGCTGCCTGCGTGCCCACCCTGTCCCGGGCCTCTGCCCACCCAGCAGGCCTGGAGCGGCTCTGCACCACATGTGCTGAGCAGCGGCTGCCCGGCTGGCGTCTTCCAGAGCCCCCCTCCCTGCCCGCCTTCTTACTGCTCTCCGCGCTCCTCTGCGCCTTGCAGAACAGCCCTTTGTTCCCAGGCAAGAGGAATCTGCAGCTTCATCAGCTCTCACCCAACCTCCCACTGTCCTCCCGGCTGAAGCCCAGGAAGGGAACAGGACGCAGCGCTGAGGGCCGGAGATAAAGGTGCTGCAGCCAGAGGCTGGATGGTGTGCAGAATTTGGGATGCAGCAGTGGGCCCACCAGGACCACATTGTCTGCCTGGCTGGTGACCTTGGGCCTATCTGGACTCGTGCCCTCCCAGGGCCATGGAGCTGGACCAGAGGATTCTGGGTCCTTTCCCAGCTCTGAAAAGGTCAAAGCCTAATTTTGCATTTCCACTGAACAATGTCTTTGTCTCTGGGTGGTGAAATACTAGATTTTTTTCTCTTCTTCATTTTCCAAATAATCCATACTACGATTACACTACTGATCTCTTTGTGATCAGAAGCACAAAAAGCATATGACTCTAAAAGGAAAACAGGGCCAGGCATGGTGGTGCACACCTGTAATTCCAGCACCCGGGAGACTGAAGAAGAAGGATTGCTATGAGTTTGAAGACAGCCGGGGCTACATAGCAAGATCCTGCCTCAAAGAAAGAAAGAGAGAAAGAAAGAAAAGAAACATCTTTTTTAAAAGAAGGAAATAAAGCAGCTCCGTGTGGTGGTGCACACCTGTAATCCCAGCACCTAGGAGGCTGAGGCAGAAGAATTATCACAAGTTTGAGGCCATCCTGGGCTACATAGCAAGACCCTATCTGAGGCGGGGGGGAGAGGGAGTGGGAGGGGAAGGGGAGAGGGAGGGGGAGGAGAGAGGGACGGGGAGAGAGAGAGGACAAATTTTTAAAAATAGAAGCATAAGAGAGAGAAGGCCAAGCCACGGCCCGAACTGCAAACAGCTCACCATCTCTACAGAAGTGCCCTTAGCTGCAGGGATTTTCCCCCCCGCCAGGCTACAGTCTTTGTGAACTCTTCTGGCGCCACCTGCTGGTCATTGCAGAAACTACCGCTGAATTTGGTTTGCCAAAGAGCTCTGAAAGCGATTAGTGCTGAACAGCGGTGGGGTCAGCCTCAAGGTAAAGATTGCATTGTACTAACAGGCACATCTTACCCTGTTCTCAGCACCAGAACTCACTCTGGAATTTGCCTTGCAGTAAGGATCATAACAGGGACGTCTGAACCAGTCCCGGCTGGATAGGGTCCCTGGATGGTCACACAGTAACCGAGGCTGGGCCAGTCCCCTCCCCACTGCGCGCAGCGCCGCAGAGAGGGGCAGAGACTCCTAGGAGCCCACGGTCAGCCCCAGCGTCTGCGAGGTGTCATCTCGTTCTGATTCTGCCTCCTGCCCGATAGATCTGGAGTCCTCTCACAGGGCCGGGAGCAGCCCATGGCGCTCGCCCACTCCTTAGCCCCGCTTTGCCTCCAACCCAGGGAAGGAGGCCCCTCTTCCCGTCTGCAGGTGCCCCTGCAGGGCATGGTGGGCCAGGAGCACGCTCCCCTCTTTCGGAGCTGACCTTTCCCCGAGAGGGAGCTGCTGGTGCTGCCCCTCTGCTGAGGGAGGGTGGGTAGGGGCAGGACAGTGGCCCGGCCCAGCCAGGCTTGTTTGAGCCCCTCTGCGGCGGATACCGAAAGCCTTTCCAAATTCCCACTCTAAAGGCTCCTCTCCCTCAGGCCTTTCTGAACTTGAAGATCCTCACGTGGTTGTATCAGTCAAGAGTAAGCAGAAGGCCTGTCCTTCCCAGGATGAAGGAGGGACCCGGGAGCCCCTGATTGGTCCTGCCGGGAGGGCTGGACTGCCGAGGGCTGCCGCAGAGCCCCCTCCCCCGCACTCCTATAAAGCTGGGCGGGCCCTGCTGCCTGCAGCTGGGCTTCAGGACTGAACAGCACTTCAGGCTGCGCACCGGGGCACTCGCAGCCAGAGGACAGCAGGTAGGTGGGGGAGCTCCTCACCACAAACTGAAAACCACGCACTGACTGCATTACTCCCCTGTGCCAGGCTGGCCCCCCGCTCGGCTGGCCCGCCTCGGGAACCTTCCAGAACGCTCTTCTCAGCTGGTCTTCCCTATCTGTGCTTTGACGCTATGATTCAATGCTAGTTTCAGGTTGGCTGCTTGGGAATTCGTTCTGTTTTTTAAGCCCTTGTGGCACGCACTAAGCCCTTTCTCGAGAACTCTGTGCTTTCTTTCTAAATTTGATTCACCTATTATGTTATTTCTCTCATTTAAGATTTCTCCTACCAAGAGGTATGGGCTGGTGACATGGGTGTGGCCCTGTCTTTAGGAGACTGATGAGTGTTTGCTCTGTGGGAAAAGCTGCTCTGAGCTCACGATGATTAGGGACAGAGAGGTCTGGGTGCTAGGGTTGGGGGCCCACACTCACCGGATGGCAGAGACCAGCCAGGCCCACAGCGGGAGCAGCCGAGCAAGGGCTCCTCACAGCCTTGCAGAGATGACTGGATGTGCTCTCGGCCTGTGTTTTACCCCTGTTTATTTATTTTTGTTTTTCTTCTCTGAGACAGGGTCTCACTATGCAGTTCAGGCTTCAGGATAGCCTTGAACTCACAGCAACCCTCCTGCCTCAGTCTCCCAGGTACTGGGATTTTAGGTGCGCACCAGCTCACTCAGCTTCTCACCCCTTTTTAAACAGGAGAACCAACATCGCGTCCGAGTGGGACATTTTAGCTGAGGACCGTTAATCACCTTTGCAGTGCAGCAGGCGGGGTGGAGGGTCTTGGGCTAAGCAAGGTACCTCTCAGCCTTCTCCAGCTCCAGCTCCATGAACTCAGCCTCCCCTGGAAGACAGCCCAAGCACGCTTAGCTACAGGAATGCTTCTGTGTCCTTGGTCCACACAGACAAAGGCCCAGGTGCCAGAATGCCCCTGACAGTTGGCCCTGAGGGTGATTTCCACAATGGCTATTGTCGTTTCAGGAACCAAATCTGGCCAGCTCCCAGGAGGGGGTGGGCATGACCAAGACTTCAACAGCCCTTTGGATACGTGTGGCTCACCTTGGGCCGGGACCCCCTGGGGGCTCCCGGGCCTCCTAACCTCCTCTTCCTCCATTTCCCTTGCAACTCAAGCTTTCCTCTCTTGGCTTGGTTCAGGGGCCCTCATGCCCCACATCTCCTGCTGAAGCCCACATGGCAGAGGGGCACTGGGTGTCAGCCTCACACAGAGCTGAACGTAAACCTGCCACCTGCTGCTGCTTCTTCAAAGATAGGGACAATACCGATCTAGCCAAGGTGAGAAGTGAGTTAGGTGGTCACACAGGGAGGGCAAGTAGGGTGAGCAGGGGGACCCCGGGCCCTGGGGGTGGGATTGAAAAGGACACCTGTAGGACATTCTGATCCCTTGACGCCGGGGGAGGCTGGGATGCTGGAACTGTGTTTCCATCCTTCTTTTCCCCTCTGCCTTCCTCTTCCTCCTTCTTTTCCCTCCCCCCCCCCACCACCGCCATCACTGTAAAGACCTTCAGGATCAGCTCTCAGGAGCCAGTGACTTTCCTAAAATGGAAGGCAGAGTGTGCCTGACCCGGTGCCAGCCTAGAACAAGGGGGAATACGGAATGGGACGAAAATGCTGTCCGTGGGCAGAAGTGTTTGAGTCTAGCTCTTTTACTCCTGGTACCCTTTGACTGGAAAGCCTGGGAATACTAATGCAACCCTCTATGCACTAACTCATTACCCATTTATTTTCCCATGCATATTCAAAGGCTTCATAGTTGTCAGTTTCAGCTTGTTATCTGCTTGAGAAAGCCGAGATCAGGCCCCGAGTGGATATAATTCCCAGCAAAAGCAGAGAAAACACAGTATCTGAGTTGACCCTGTGCAGCCCAAGCACGGCAGTACGGTGGTGCTTTCAGGAAAATGGAAATGGTACAAAGATGTGGTTTCTTTTCTTAAAATCTGCTACACATAAGGCCTGGGGGTGTGGCTGGGTGGTAGAACACTCGCTTCACATGCATGAGGCTTGGATTCAGTATCCAGTGCTGAAAAAAAAGAGCATACTGGGACACACCCATAATCCTAGCACTCTGGGAGGCTGGGGCAGGAGGACTGCAAGTTTGACCAGAGCCTGGACAATTTAGTAACTTAGTGACACCCTCTCTCAAAAGAAAGACAGAGGGGGAGAAAGAAAGAGAGGGAGAAGAGGGGCAGGGAGGAAGGAAGGAAAAAAACCAAGGATGTAGCTCAGTGTGAAGACGCTGGGTTCAATCTTAAGAAAAGAAAGAAAACCTCTGCCTCACTTGGGTGGAGGCAGGGAGCCGGGAGCCCAGTGGGGATGTTAACTGCCGGTCCTTGTCTCCCTCAGACTCTGACACAATGAAGACACCCCTGCGCGTGTGGGCACTGGCCATGGCCTGTGTCCTGCTCCACGGCCACCTCTCCTTGGTCACAGCACGGGGCATAAAGCACAGAATCAAGTGGAGCCGGAAGGCTACGCAGAGCCCGCCGCAAGTCACCGAGGCCCGTGTGGCCGTGACCCGCCCGGGGGCCTTCATCAGGCAGGGCAGCAAGCTGAACATCGACTTCGGAGCCGAGGGCAACCGGTACTACGAGGCCAACTACTGGCAGTTCCCGGACGGCATCCACTACGACGGCTGCTCCGAGGCCAACGTGACCAAGGAGATGCTGATCTCTGGCTGCATCAACGCCACGCAGGTGGCCAACCAGGCGGAGTTCTCCCGGGAGAAGCAGGACAACAAGCTGCACCAGCAGGTGCTGTGGCGGCTGGTCAAGGAGCTCTGCTCGGTCAAGCACTGTGATTCGTGGTTAGAAAAAGGAGCGGGGTTCCGAGTGGCCGTGAGCCAGCCGGTGATGCTGTGCCTGCTGGTCTTCATTTGGGTCCTCATGACATAAGCTGGAAAGGAAGCTAGCAGCCCCCACAATGAGCCGGTGAGCAACCTGCAGTCACCCCAGTTGCCCTTCCTACCCCCACCCTATATGTCCTGAAGGTACCAAAGAACAGCACCTCGTCAGTGTTTCAAATATCACCCCCAAGAACTCCCCCTGGTATTTGTTCAGTGGTATTCCCATTTTACATATGTGGAAACTGAGGCTCAGAGAAGTGAAGCAGGTCACCCAGAGTCACACTGCTACAAAGTGGCAGAGCCAGGAAGCAACCATAGCCTGGCTTCAGGTGTCCTGCTCTGCTCCATCCCAGGGCCGCCTCATGGTCTCTCTATGGCTCACAAGGCCCAAATCTAACCGGGGTGCTCTAGGGAAACTAAGATTTAGATGTAAATGAAAGGACCCGACCAACTGCTGTGTGCTTTGAGATCTCAGTGCATGGGAGTTTAGTTTAACCCATGTAGTTAAACTCAAATATAATGAGGAAATTGATTTAAAATGGAAAGGATGGGGCGAAGGTTCAGGAGCCTGGCTGTTCGGAAATACTGCCAAGGCGGCCCAGAGCGGGTGAGATCTGCTGCAGATCGCTGTGGCATTAGGGCTCTGTTTCACAGGAAGGGCCAGGTGTTTCTCTGCCAGCAGTGGTCTGTGTACTAAGAAAAACATTTTCAAATGACATGCTTGCTTCCAGGGTTCCCCCAGCCCTATGTGCTTGCTTTTAGGTGCATTCACACGAGCGTCTGTAAAGATGCTTTCTGTATGTGGTGCTCTCCGCGATCGCTATCGGTCCTTGGGACACCACTCCGGCTTTGGCAAGGGCTGTCATCTCCGTAAATCTCTTCTCGTTACAAAAACACAACCACCCGCCAAAAGGCTGGACGAGCCTTTCTTTAGAAAGGCTCCAATAAAGAATCTGTGCCTGTCATAAGCAAGAGTTGATACAACACCTTACCAGTTTTTAAAATGTTAAACATATGAACCTCTTTTAGAAGTAAAACGTGAAGCTAATGCTCTAAGGCGCCCCCACCACCACCATCCGGGGTCCTGGCAGAGAGCTCCAGCAGTGTGGAGCAGCGGTGGAGATAGCAGCTGCCCAGCGTTATCAGTTCTCTCGTTAGCAGCACGCCGCGGAGCGCAGATGTGTGTGCTCGGATCCTTTATCTGCAGTACTGCAGAACGTGAGTGTTGATACTGTGCCCCTCGTGCCGAGCTCCCAGGGCTATCAGTTCTTCTCAAGGACACGCTTGGAAGGTTTTAGGGAGGAAAGACGAAGGACTTGGGGAGGCGCAGCCCAGGCAAGCAGCCTCTCAGCCCATATCCCACGGGGAGTTGCCGGGTGCTGCCAGCACAGAGGACCCCGCAGTGGCTCCTGCCTCTGCAGACCCTAACCTCACCTTGGACTCTCCCAGCCTTGTTAGTTCTAGATCTGAGTGCAAAGCTTGGGGGTTACGTCTTGCATCCCATTTTTAAAAATAATAAGAATGCGAATAAAGAAAGAAAAAGTCCTCAGAGGGTGACGCCGGCACTGGAACCGCAGGCTGTGAGCTTCATTACACGGTTGCTCCATGCAGCGCCCCCTAGAGGACTTCACTTCCCACGGGAGGCTCGAACGGGAGATTTGTTCTCGGAGTTTTTAATGGAAACTGCGTGAACGTGGACGTCCTTGCTCAGGTTTGCAGTTCACGAGGTGGACTTTGGGAGCCTGGCTTTTCACCTTATCCAAGGGCTATCCTGCACCTGCTATGAGCAAGACACTGTGAGGTGCTTCTGAATTATCCTTGCCGAGGTCATTTTACAACGTGAATAATTTCACTGACCATTGCATTCTTGGCACCCTGAACGTTGGCTCTTTAAGGTGTAAGGGGGTTTTTTTTAGTAAAAATGCATTAAAATTACAACAGAAATCTAAAACAAAAAAAGACTCCAATCTTGGCATCAAATTGTCAGTTTTCATTTCCCCTGCAACCTGTACTCCATGTCCATCTGTATATACCAATGCCTGAATTTGCAATAGTAATCAGACGAGCCTTCAGACCCAAAATGTTTCCATCATTCAAGGCTTTTTGTCCATTTTCCTATGGTTTTTAGTTTCTTGTCTCCCCAACCCCATCCCCTCCTTCCATCTTGGGGTGTAGCCCCCCTTTTAATATGCTCAGATATATCATGCTCAGCTAACTTGTCCTTTTACACTGCTGTGTGATATTCATGGTACAATAGACTGTGGTTGATTTAATCCTTTCCTTGGTGAGGGACCTTCAGACTGTTGCCAGTTGGGGTCCCCCCCCCCTGCAAAAATAAATAGCTTTTATCTACAATCTTGCAATCTGGTGTCTTTATTTCTGGAGAACAGGCTCGCACATGCAGAATCTCTGGAGCAAAGCCTATGTGTAATTGAAATTTTACTAGATGTGACCCACTTATGTTCCCACACAGCTGAAGCAATCCCATCCCCTCCTGCAGTGTAAGAACGGCGTTACTTCCAAAGAGTTCCTGTGTCATTTCGGTGTGTGAAGCCACCTTCTCCACAAGAGCTGCTCATGCATCTTCTCTCCTTTGTAGCGAGCACATGCCAAGCTTCCTAAGGAACTCTGATCCCAAGGGCCACTGGAATATCCTAAAACTGTTAGCGGCTCCCTCTCTAAAACTGGCTCTTGGCCCAAAATGTCTGGAAGAGAAAAGTGGAGATGGGGCAGGGCTCATGAGGGTTCCCTGCTCCCAGGCAGCACCTGTGCACAGCTCCAAGCTCCTGGCACCCAGGGACGGTAAGGTTCGGCCTAAACTTTTAGCAAACTTTTAGCAAAGTTATACATGCAAGTATCTATTTCCCAGCCAGACTGTCCTCCAGATTTTAGGGGTCCCTAAAAGAGCAGGCATGGAGCCCACTGTCAGAGTAGCCCCACTCCCCTGCCCCTGGACTCGGGCAGACGATCAGATCCAAGGGCCCCTTAGAATCCCCAGTCCAGGATGCGCTGGAAAACATGAGAAGCTGCGCCCTTTAGGCCCAGTGAGGAGTGGTTTGAGTTTGGCTGAATCTGCCCACAGTCCCTCCCTTAAGCTTTTAGACAGCCTGTAACTGGCTGTGGGTAACAGTGGCCCATGGAGTGAGGACGCTGGGGCCCCGCTTCACACCGCAGCATGGCCACGTCTCACACCTCCACCAGCATGCATCCTTCACTGCTGTGTGTGGCCGGACAGGGACACCCGAGGTGCCATGCATCCCTGCGTAACACATTCTGGACTCTGCTGGGACCCCTCCTGAAACACTGCCAGCGAGACCCCTGCACCCACAGGCAGGCAGCAGGGTGACAGACCACAGCAGAAGCCCAGCCACTGCTTGGCAAACCTTCTTGGCAAACCAGGCTAGGACAGAGGCAGCCCCAAGGCCAGGGTCACAGAGGAGCGACACAAGGTTCTCTTCTTGCCTTGCTGCCAGTAGCAGGGCTGTTTCGGGGGAGGCGAAGGAGCCGAACATGGAGTAAGGCCCCCACTCCCTGCACAACAGGAATAAGGACACAAGCGCCTGTGTCCTCGAGTCCCAGCTAAGTCCACTCCAGACTTTCTGACCAGTCACAGAGCAGCAGGCCCCGCTGTCCCCTTGGAGAATGGAGGCCTTCACCTAGGGACCTAAGGGCTCTCTGCTCTGAGCAGGAAAGGAACAGGAAGGACAGAGATTCCCCTCACTGGACCCCAAAACCCTGAGACCTCTCTCACACAATAAGCCCCAAAGCCAGGCACTTGGATAACTCTGGGTTTCCATAAAGGCCTCATTCTGCAAAAGCCCGGTGCACTGAGCGCCACTCTTGATCATCTGAGGGGACCTCCCCCGAAATTGCTCATCCTTCAATACCCAAGCATCACCGTCTCCCCAGGATGCCGTCCCTGGGTGTCGGTCTGAATATCAGAAACTCCGCTCATCCTCCCATCCCTGCCTGCCTCTGGGATTCCCCGATCTTATTTTCATGCTAACCATTTTGTGGAAAAACACTGCCCTCTTAAACAATGCGGATTGTTTTAATTCCAGCTGGCTTGGCTGTGAACTATGGAAGGAAGTTGGCAGGAGGCCCAAGAGGAACTAGAGGAAGCCAAGACAGACAGGTCAGGGCTGAGGAGCTAACGCAGTAGCCTTGCTGGGTGCAGGAGATGGACAGGGTGGGGGTTGTGGCGGGCAGGAAAGAGGCCTCGGAGAGTGCAGGGGAGAATCAGTCACCGATCAGGCTCGGGGTGACCCGGTATCCAGGCAAGGGAAGGTGTTACACACACCTAGGGGAATGGTTCAGCACCAAGGAGAGGGGCTTTCAAGCCGAACCAGGGTACAGCTGCTGCATCCCTTGCATTGCATTGGAATTTCCAAATCTACTGGCAAAGTTTCTCCTTTTTTTAAACTAGCTTTTTTGACTCAAGGCTGCTTAGCAACCAAGAATGAAATAGGACTGAGAGTATAGCCCAGTGGTAGAATGCTTGCCTCGCATGTGTGAGGCCCTGCTTTGATCCTCAGCACCAAGGGGGGAAAGAAAGGAGTTCATGGTATCTCTTAAATGTAATTTATCCCTCCTGTGCCCAAGCCAAACCACATCAGTACCTCTGCTCTCCCGGGGGGGTAATAGAGGACAGCAGAGGCCAAGACTGATGGATTTTCCTCAGCTTTCAACCCACCTGGAATGGCCACCCTTCCCATCCACCCAACATCAACGGCATTTTCTGGGGGCCCTGGCAGAAGAATGACTGAAAGTTACTCCTCCTGGAATTTTGCCCTTTATGTAGTCTGAAATCCTACTCTGTCTCAGCTGTGAGGATGCTGAGCTGTAGAGAGAGATGGTTCCAGAAATCTAGCTGTCAGACTCGCACCTGGAGCAGGTCCTGAGCCCCAGTCATTTACCTGTGAGGCTCCACATCGTATTTCAAACCTCCTGCCTTACACACGACTTTCGCCTAGACTCACCGGTGGTTTACCCTCTGGGCACTGTCATGACTCCTATGTTCAACATTTAGCTAACGTCCTTTGCCTCCTCTTGGGTGTCCTGTGGGCTCATCCACACCTTCATTCCACAAGCACTTACTGAGGTCCTACTGTGTGTCTATCCACTCTGCCACAGCTCTAATGGTGGGCAACAGAGGCACTGACCCTGCCATGAGGGTGTCCATGCTCTGGTCAGTGTGATCATGTGCCTGCGTGGTCAGAAGTGTGTGGTGCACCAGTGTACGGAGGTGGGGAGTAAAGGAGATGGCAGAGATTCGAACATCTTCTCCCAGGAGCCTCTCCGACCAGCTCCAGCACAACCCTCAGTTCAGTGCTCACTTTGTAGCCTTTCCATGCTGGCATTCACTCCGCAAGCATTGGGCCCTGAGTCTGAGCTCAGGTCTTCCGGCCGGGGTGGGGCTGCAGATGGAGAGAAGCTTGCCCTCCAGCTCTCCGTCCCCCACACAGGACACCTGGGTGGAAACGCTGCACCAGGGAGGCTCAGCACGGAGGAGATGGCCTGAAGGATGGGCACCACCGGAGTACAGGGTCGGTTAGCAGTACATGTGCACTGACTTCCTGTCACGTGCCTGATGGTCCCCAGGGCCCTGCCAGCACCACAACAGTGAGTCACTGCCCCCACCTTTAAGGAGCTCGAAGCCCGTTGGGGAGGTGGATAACGGCCGCGCAGCGGGGGCCATGCTAGACCCCGGCATTAGCAACACCATTTCCAGACAGGGCCAGGCTGAAAGGTTGGATGAGGGCATATTGCGGAGAAATGAGAGAGACCAGATCATTGCAAAGATGGGGGTGAGGGGGCCTCTACTGCACTCAAGGCCGCAAGTTGTACAGTCCAGCAAGGATGCGGTACATAGAGAGGGAGCTGAAGCCCATGACAGATCCACCGCAGCTGGGAGTGGGTCCAAGGCCCTGCATCTCCAGCCAGGCCTCTGGTGGCGCCGATGCTGCTGGTCTGAGGACTTCGCTGTGCTTAGCAAGGCTGTCCATCAGAGGGGAGCGCGGAAAGGCGGGAGGAAGGTGGGGACCGCGGCCGGGCTCCCACTCCTGAAGGTGACTCCAGCTGCTGGGGAATGCTGGGGAGAAGGCTGAGCTGAATCTGGAAACTGCTGTTGGAGGTGTCCCCTTGGGACCTCGCTTTGGGCTGGCTCCCTTGTCCCTGCCACCTCCCTCCTTCTTCTCCCCCTAAGGGAGACACTGGAGGCCTAGGATTCCTCCCACTCTGAGGCATCTCCTCATGTGTCTGTGCAGCCAGCCTGTGTGGTGTTACCGGGCGTCACAGGTCTGGGCAGATCTGTGTTTGATGACAGTACTGTACAGCGGAGGCATGGGCTGCACAGAGCGCCCCCGAGGAACAGAATGTGTTCCAGCCGGGTTATGAAAGGCTGCCCCTGGAGTATTCGTTCAAGACCTAAAGAGTGATGTTTATATTTTTAATTAAAGTTTACTGAGTTCTAGGAGACAAATGTGTGCAATAGTGAGATACACACACACACACACACATACACACACACACACACACATACACACACACACACACACACACACACACACCTTAGGAAAGACTGCTTGGAATGTCCAGAGCCCACAGTGATGGGGAACAACAGAGGCCTGAAGGGAACTGAAAGGTTATTGCAGGAGCTGGGGAAGGGGCCCAGCTGGCCCTGGGGACATCACCTGCCTACACGCTTACAGGGCCAGGAGGTCAGGCCCAGCCTGGAGAGGCCAGCAGGGACAGCAGTGGGAGGGGTGGTGAGAAGGGAAACAGCTGAGGACAGGACACAGCGAACCTGGGGTTCAGGACCAAAATGAGCACAGCTAAGCTGCCAGGCCTCGGGCTCCCTGCCACTGGCCGGACTCTCAGGGGCAGACTTCACTGAGCCACCCCTGTGAGCTGGCACCTGGCCAGGCCCGGGGAACACAGTGATGGCGATGATGGAGACCACACCCAAGGCGCCACCAATGATCCACAGCGGAGCAGGCTGGAGCAATGACCTGGCCTCTCCATTGAGTTCCTCTGTGATTAGAACCACTGGCAAGGGAAGAGGGTCTGGGAATTCAAAGAAGAGTTTTTCACCAGGCCTGGAGGTAAAGAGAAGAGTCCATGAGTTAAGACCCAAAGACTGAATGGGAGGAAGACACATTAAAAACACATTCCGAGCAGCCGGGATATAGCTCAGTGGCAAAGCAGCTGCCTGGCAAGCACAAAGTCCTGAGCTTGATTCCTGGCTCCAAAAAAAAACCACTCCTACCCCTTGACCTACTGCTGGTGCAAAGTGATTCGACTACTTTGAGACACTCTTTGGTGGTTTCTAATAGTTAAATGCGTGGCCCAGCAAT